GGGTAAATTTTAAATCGAAATCCAGTGGTTGTTAGGTTAGTTGTGTGTTAATCTTTTTGTCTATTAGTTTATTCTATTTTCATTCTTAACCACATGTGTTGCAAAATAAGAATAAAGATAGATTTTTCTCTCCCTCAGTCTCACACTAGTTTAATCTTGTTCAAAATTCTCCTTCCACATTCAAACTTCATACAAAACCAAGGAAACCGATTTTATGCTTTTCCTGAGTTGGCAAACACCATGGATGCATAATTTTGATAATTTTAACAAGGCACAATGCTGCGTCTTGTGCTAAAATGAAAGTGGGGTTGGCATATATTGCAAGAAGGGAGAATTAAGACTTTTTTCTGAAGAAAAATTGTGTAAAATTGAGAAAGGAGGCAACCCGTGGTCTATTTTTAATTGGACCCTAGACATGTTCTAATTGGGTATTTTTTAAGGATTTAAGTGATTTTATATTTTAAATTGTTAATTTAAAAATAATTACTTTATAGTTTAATTTAAAAGTAGCTGTTATCCTACCGTACCAGCAGCTAACCAAACATGAGCTTTGGCATGTATGTTTTTAAAATTCAAATACAACAAATTTAAATGAAAAGATAATATGCTCCAAATCTTGTAAAATATTCATAGGACAGATATTTCTTCCTGGCAATGAGCTAACCGGTTGTTACAAATTTGTTTCCTTGCTTTCCCTGAAGTTGGTAGAGAACCATTATGCTGCATTCTGCCAATTATAGTAGTCCTTCACGCTTATCATCTTGCTAAACTTAAACATCCATCTAATTTGAAATCGAACCGATTCCTGGCTGCTTTAATTTATTTGTATATTAGGACAGCTCAACGGAAAATCAAATGAAATTGAGGTTTGGTTTATTCATTAATCTTTCTCCTAACTTGACAGATACCAAATCTCTTTGTCATGTAATGAGCCTTGCGTGCAAAACCTCAGCTAGTTTAACTTGTTTAACATCGTATCCTGTCACAGTGAGACCACCCATGTGACATATAATCAAGTCAATTCCTCTATTTATCTCCTCTTGTTTATATCTCAATCAGAACTCAACAAACCATTTTTTTAAACATCTTGAATAAAATAAATAATCAAATATGGAATCCGTTGCGATTTTATGCCAACTAGTAGAATATATTGGAGATTACATTCATTGCAACAACACTTCAAAAGTGAAGCCTCATTGCCTTTGAACTTAGCCATGGCTACCGGTTCAAAGCTTTTCCTCTCTTTGTTTCTCCAATTGCTTTCTATCCTTTTTCTCTTCAATCCCACAAATGCTCAGGGACTGAAGATTGGGTTTTATGAGAAATCATGCCCTAAGGTAGAGCTCATTGTTAAGAATGTTGCTGCGGATACCATGTCAAAGGCTCCTTCACTTGCTGGCGCTTTGTTGAGAATGTTTTTTCATGACTGTTTTGTTAGGGTATGTAATTGAGTGTCAACCATACTTTTTCCAATAACTATATCCTGTTATTGCATTTTGATGTTAATTTTGTTCTTTGTTTTAGGGTTGTGATGGTTCTATTTTGTTGGATTCACCAACGAACCAATCTGAAAAGGATGCGTTTCCAAATCTAAGCCTTCGAGGATACCAAATAATTGATAGAGCAAAGGCTGAAATAGAGAAAGAGTGCCCTGGGGTCGTTTCATGTTCTGATATTTTAGCGTTGATAGCAAGGGATATCGTCGCTGCGGTAAGAAATTACCATACATATCTAATAGGATATTTCATCTGAAGTACAATTTATGATTCCCATGAAAAAAAAGGTACAATTTATGATGTACATACATAGTTGAATACTAAATTTGAAATTTATGATTCAAGAGGAATGGACCATCGTGGGAAGTCGAAACAGGGCGAAGAGATGGAAATGTATCAATTATAACAGACGCCTTCCAAAATCTGCCAGGTCCCGGTTTTAACATCTCCCAATTGATAACAAGGTTCCAACAAAAGGGTCTAAGTGTAAAAGACCTTGCAGTCTTGTCAGGTATTCCAACAGAACACATTGCATTCACACTATTTTGCAATTGAATTGTACTGATGGTAAAACAAAAATTATTGGATGGGAAGGGACAACTATGACAATCCTCAATATGGCGACCTGTCCCATCTAATGCCTTAAGTTGTGCTGTATTGACTGCACAAAACCTTTTTTGATATTTTTACAACCAGCAGTGGCGACAATTTAGCTAATTTGATCTTTTTTTTGAATCCTAATAATTCAGCTGGACACACCCTTGGAGTATCTCACTGCTTTTCCTTTAGCAACCGCCTTTACAACTTCACCGGAAAGGGTATTAATAATGATGCTGATCCTACCTTGGATCCAAACTACGTTGCAAAGTTGAAGGTTAAATGCAAGCCTGCAGATACTACTACGATTGTGGAGATGGATCCCGGCAGCTTCTCGACATTTGACAATGACTATTACAAATTAGTCACGAAAAGAAGAGGGCTATTCCAATCAGATGCAACTCTACTAGACAATGCAGAGACCAAAGCCTATGTTGAGCTTCATGCGATTCAGAAGGAAAGTTTCTTCCAGGACTTTGGTGTGTCCATGGTGAAAATGGGAAGGATTGGTGTTCTTACAGGAATACAAGGTGAAATCAGGAAAGTTTGTTCTAAGGTTAACTAAGAAGCAGGTTGTGAAAGTTGGGTCAAAGTTCCAAGCTCATGGTTTTTAAGTTTTACGATTCTTCACAAGTGCACATTCCCTTTGTCGCTGTAGAAATAAGTCCTGTCATTTATTTTCTATAATTTGAAAATCTCAAGCTTTTCTCCTTATGCTATTTCTATAAAAAGAAAGAGAACTCAAGCTTTTTGCTCAGTTGGTTATATGGATTCACCTCCAGCTCAGTGAGCCGTATTCAATTTTGCTCCTCTACATAATTCTACTTTGTTAAAAGAAAGGAAGAAATTAGTTGAATAAAAAAATAACCGATGACAATCAACTTTAAATAAATTGGTAGTAGCTTAGTTCAAAATTTAATTTTGAGAATCTACTAACTTCAAAGGAAAATGAAAAATCAGAATATTTTAATATTTAAAATATTAGAACATTTAATTATAATTATTAAATATATAAGATATAGTATAAATTTTAAATTTTTTATTATATAATTATTATTAAATATTTTAACATTTTAAATATAAAAACGCCTTAATTTTTCTTTCTTCATAAGTTCTAATTTCTTCGCCCATAAATAAAAGGAAATATTATATTAAAGGACCAATCAGCCCAACTCACAATATCCAAATGGCACTCAGATTGGTCTAATGTTGAGTAACTCAAGCCTCGGCTGAGCCTGTCCAACGTAACTTAACAAGCCAATAGGACTCAACATAAAGAGATATCGAATCATAAAGACACCAGCCATGGACCTACATAAGATTTAAGAAAATAATACAAAAGCAAGTTCTTCGCTGTTATGGTATATATACTTTGCGTATGGATTTTCCTATTGCCGTCCGACTACTTTATACCTTGTTCTCCTTTGTATGAAAAATAAATTAACCTAAAGGATTGAAGATGGTCTAATAAATTACATTAAGAAAGTGGGTTGAAAAAGGAAAATATTTAAGATATTTTAACATTAAAAATATCAAAACATTTAACAAATTATAATCACATGATGAATGTAATGAAGTTGAGACTTACATATTACATCATACATATTTAATAATTATAATTGAATGTGTTTTAGATATTATATTTTCTCTTTTTGCTTAAATTAATATATTTGATTTTGATTAAAAAATATTATATAATTTAAATTGTATTAAATTATACAAGTGTTATTGTGTAATTCAAATTGAAGCATCTGATTGTTTGATTAATTAGCTAACAATTTGCCCATAGAAATGAAGAATTAATTAGTGTAGTAGTACAATATAACGATGGCCTTATTCCTTTCTTTCTCCATGCAAAAAGACTCCAAATTCCTTAACGTCCCTTCACTTCCCCGCCACCGTTCTTGCTACAACTACATAACCACCCCTACCATTGCTCCTGTTCCCAAATCTCTTCGAAGCCTTCTCGATTATCCTACAGGAAAAAATGTCTAACCCACAGGAAAAAATGTACACCCTGCCGGAAAGAACATTGCCGCTCCATTCCACCTCAGAACACAAACCCCCCAAACGACACCAATCAGCCCGTTATTATGCCCACCGGGTCCGTGAAAGCCTCACCACTAGAGTCTCCAAAATAATATGTGGCATATTCTTATCTTTTCTTTTACTTTTTGCCATCATTGCTTTCATACTCTGGCTTAGTTTAAGCCCCCACCGTCCCCGGTTTTTCGTCCAGGAGTTTTCAATCCCGGGCTTGGTTCAGCCCAACGGGTTTGAAAATGCCGAGATTACATTCAACGTCACAGTTAGGAATTCCAACCAACACATCGGAATCTACTATATGGATTCCATGGTGGGGACTGTTTATTACCGGGATCAATCAATCGGGTCGATTACGTTGTCCGGCCCGTTTTATCAGAGTCCGAAGACCACAAAGGTGGTAGACGGCGTGCTGGGTGGGGCGACGCTGAATGTGAACAATGCCCGGTGGACGGAGTTCTTGAATGATCGGCAACAGGGGACGATTGTTTTCCGGTTGGGGATCACGTCGGCCATCAAGTTTAGGGTGTCCACCTGGGACAGCAAGAGACACAAGATCCACGTGGATTGTGAGGTGTCGGTGGGTCCCGATGGATTGTTATTGGCAAGTTCTATAAACAAGAGATGTGGTCTTTACTTCACTTGATTCATTAATTTGTCCTTCGTTGTTCTCATTGGCTGTGCTCTTTTTTCTTTTTGGGTTTGATTATAGCAGTCCGGGAATTCAATACAAATTGTAAACTGATTGTAAACTAACAGCACATGATGAGTGAAACCATGAGCCCCAACCAGGTCCCCTAATCATGTGATCATTGACTGTTTGGAATGCCAGTCCGGACTGGCTAGACATTTATTATTTAGCATTTTGTGGTTTGGATTCATTTGCATGTAAAATGGAGATTAAATAAAATTTTTATTTAATTTGTATTATGGTTATACAAACATGTTCGTGGAAGTTGCCAAATCTGTAGAGAATTTTTAGTCTTGACTGATAGTTGTATAAGGATGCATCTGGCTTTTACCAAAGAGAGGTTAAGGGAAGGAAAAATGTAACCCCCTGTACCCCTGATATGAGAACTCACCAATAACTAAAAGGAGTGCAGTTTCGTGCAGCATTTTTTACTCACAAGTTAAAAAATGGAATTGAGGAAAATCTGAACATTCAGGTAATTAAAATATTGAAATGATAATGAAAAAAATTAAAATATCTTTAATAAATTCGCACACAAAAAAATATTAAAAATATTTGTACAATTTAAAAAGATACATGAATAATTTAATAAAAAGTTTTGGTATTTAAAATATTAAGATGTTCTAATTTTTACTTTTTTTTTTTCTTTTAAAAAAATCATGTTAAATACTTAACTGTGTGACAAGTCCCTCCCTAGTCTCCTCTTCTCTTGTGAAGGATTCCTCTTTTTCATTTATTGTTACTTCTCTTGTGACTAGATTCTAAAGCATATGGTCATTGCGGCTTGATATGGTAGGGCTAGTAGTAGGTGGTAATTGTTGTTAGTGCAAGTAGTTGCTCTTCTCAAGAAATTGGCATAGTAATTGAGAAAATCTAGTAACTCTATTTATATCATTTTATTGATCGCTAAAGTAATTTTTAAGTGTAAATAATTTTTCATATTTAATTTTTTATACCCATTATAAATATAATTTAAGTCTATATTAAGTCTTATATGATTTATATATAATATCAATTTTATTTATTTTAACACAATGCTATTTTTTATTAAAAAATGGTAATGGCTTATAAGTAAATATTAGTGTTGTCCATTTAAAGATATCCAAATTATCCACACTTTGGCTGGAATTAATTTAAGCCTTGATGGGAGCCTGGTTCTATAAAATGGAGTATATAAAGTTTCTTTGCATGACAAATTTTAAATTAATGATCTAATATTTATAATTATTTAATGGAAACAAATTAATATTTTCTAACATATATCTAACAACATAAAATTTGTTGTTTCTAAAATGAATTAGTTTTAGGTATTTAAACTCTTAAATTTTTAGGTAGGACTAATATGTATTTTCCCTATTATATATTATTGAAAAATTATTTTTTAATTTAATACACTTTGTAATTTAATTTAATTGAAATTGAAAGAATAAAATGGTTGAGTTGCTATTGCTAAGGGAGATGCTAGAAAGAAATCACAGCAATTCCTAAAAATAAGCGTTTCTTATTGAGAGAAAAAGAGAAAATTCATTTTAGATAAGCGCTTTGAAGCCATTTTCCTTCCAACCTCATAAAAAGAATCAAGAAAGTATGTTACTTTTAATATCTCCCCTTGAACATAAAGTTTTATACTTTTCCAATCTTTTTAATCAATCCATGCTTCTTTTTTTTCCTACGATGAAATAGGAAAAGCATATGTCCTTAACAATCTAATGAGATCTCACACAGAAATTAAAAAGGCCTAAATTCTCATCATATATGCCATATTTTTTAACAATCATATATGCCTTATTAAGCAAAGGTGTTCCTAAAGGAAAAAGAATGTTTGAATTAGTTAATGGACCGATGCTGCCATTCCACAAAACTACTATGCTGCTTTATTCCTTTTGACATTGTTAAATAAACAAACAGCTTTCTTTTCAATCTCTATAAATATGGATTAATCATCATCAAACTTATATGTCCAATTCCAGCAAGCCTTAGATCATTTGTCCAAATATGAAATCTAGTGAAACTTCTTTATCTCAACAACGATATTCCTTCCTTTTATGGCTTATTCAAGTCCTGTTCGTGTGGTGTTGCATCACTGTTGTGATATGGTTGAGTTTGAACCCAAAGCATCCAGTTTTCAAGGTAGCAGATGTATATGTTCATCCGGCCGCCGACCATGTCTGCAATTCAACCTTAACCCAGGTTCATGAAGTCACTCAGAACAGGACCCCGGCCATCATTATCCTCAACCTCAAAATTTCTAACCCCAACAAAAGAATAGGTTACATCTACGACGGTATATACGTAGGCTTGTATTATGAAGATAGGATGATTATTGGCACCAGTTCTCTTCCAGGTTTCTATCAAGGACACAGAAATAGTTCGATTGGACGTGAAGTGCAGGTGAACATTGAGGAACAATATTTGGGGGGAATATTGGGGAAGAGTTTTGATATGAGGGTTTACTTGAAAACTAAGTTACGGTACAAGATATTTGGGTTCAAGACAAAACATCATATGAAAGGGTTTGAAGCATATGTGGGTATTGGTTCAGATGGAAGAATGTTGGGCGAAGACGTAAAGATGCACCAACGTCAAGGGTTTACTATCCTTAATCTGACAACAAAATCGAAGCTAAGGTCTGGTTGATCGATGGTCAATCACATGTGTATGTATGCTAGAGGAATTTTTCTGAATTGTAATGTAGTTTGCTGCTGGAAAATTGAAGCCATTTCCAAATCCTCAATCACATGTGATTGTCAATAAGAATATTCCCTGCTTAATTGCCAAGCAAAAGTCTCAGTACTTTATTTACCCTTATTCTCACTCAAACCACTATTCTCTCATTCCCTTCCAAAGAAAATCAAAATTCCTGAAAGTAGTGATCAGCCAAAGAACCTTTTCTTGTTCTCTCACCAGAAGCAACAGAAAAGATAAACAATGTTGAAAGGAAGAAGCTGTACGCTGTGGATTCTACAAGCTGTAAGCATCTTGATGTTTCTTGCTCTCTGTATTTTCCTAGACCTGCGAACCAAAGGCCCTGCCTTGGCTGTCCTGTATTTCTTCATTTCAACAACGATTAATTGCAGCTTTAGTGTCGTTAGTGAAGAATGTGGTAATGTTATATATCATACAATATTCACTTGAAATCAGAAATCTGAACAATGACTCTGATATCTACTAGGATGATATTTCAGTGACGTTTTATCGTGGACAAGATGTGGTTGTAAAGAATAAGGCAAGAACAAAAAGAAGAAAGCTACTTCCAATATTGGTGGTGATCCTCTTCCCTGGAGAACTCTTCGCAATGAATGTTGAATGCAACGGCGAAACAGCTTCAGCTAATTGTTGATTCACAAACAAAGATCAAGTATAAAACATGTGGGGTATATCTAGTAAGCATCATGGGATACAAAAGAATGTGAATTTTACTGTTGGATAAAGATAGAAGGATACCAGGCAAAAAGAAAATTAAACTCGTGTATCGGTGTATGCATCAAAGAAAAGAATAATTTCTTGAGGGCTACTCAATTATTCTTAATATTGCCTTAGCTAAAGTATAGCATTAGTTTTCCCAAAGCAGGGTTTTCTCTTCCCCTCACTTGTAGGGCTTTTTCTTTTTCTTTTCTTGTTTTTTTGGGGCCAACCTGTTCAGAGCTTGTTGAAGCTGATAACGTAGGGCTTTATTTCCCCTGTAATGTAATTTTGTAAACTTTTGTATTGTTTCATAAAAAAAGAGAAGTTAAAATCAGTGACAATGTCCCTCTATTTTCAGCTTATCCAAAAAAAAAAAAAAAAATGTCCCTCTTTTCAACGACCGAGATAGATTAGTTAAGACTAAGTCATCTTACCTGAAAAACCAATTGATGCCAAAGTCAATATAACTTTTGGATGCAAGGACTTCAGTCCATCAGGCTGTTATTTGGAAATGCCTTAATACATGATTTAATCTTCAACTTTTAAGTTCTCTGCTTGCATTAAATCCAACATTGGATAGCAACTTATCTTCACCATTTGGGAATTGGTACCTGCAAAGGAACCTGTTTAAACTATTTGCATATCAATTTGCATCAGCTCTCCCAATCAAAAAATTAACAAGTAGTTTGACTAAAAATTAAATGTTAAATGCTTAATACACTAGATTTGAATATGAGGTACGTATATTAGGAATATATAAAAGCTCTTACAGCAGCAATGCCACCTTAGTCTCCAGGCTCTCTGATGTCCTTTTTGACACAGCTATTGGCAGCAAGCCAAACCTGCAATCCTCACCAACTTAGATATGTTAACAATGAAACAAGATAGCATTCAATTAGTGGAAGCATTCCATAATTAATATAAAGTGAATGTCTCCTCAAATAACCCAATTGAATTGATGTGTATTCTGGCTAAAAGAATGATGGACCCCGGCCTGACAAATGGAAATATGATGTTACTGGCTTAATCTATTGACTTCAAAAAAGGTCAGTAAAGGGTCAACCTATTTGAATGGCTCATATATGCTAATATGATGTCTTAGGTTTACGAATTAATGAACAGCCACTTCTAGATAGACAATGATTGTTACTCACTCCAGTTCATCATGCAAGGAAACATGAGTAACAACTAGAACTCAAGAATGCAACCAATACAACACTTCTTTGAATTCATTAGCTAAGAGAAACAAACCCAATTCAAAACAATCCAGCCTTACCATCCTGAACAATGCAAACTCCGCTGTGGATCACACACATCCAATACAACAGTTGTTTAGTGCAGCACTATACCTGGAGAGACGTGGTAGCTTTATGAACAAATGCAAGAAGTAAATAAAAAAAATAGAGTTAAGATGTAGGAACTCCATGGGTGCATTTGCAAACAGAGAATCACATGAAGACAGGTTTGCTTGGGCATACAGACAAAACATGTTGCAACAATAGCATGACTTCTTCAGGACTGACAACAAGACTGAAAAAAAAAAATTCTAATAGTATGACTGTCAATATTAGTCATTACCAACACAATGCAAGTTGGTCCACAGGGTGTTCATCAGGTACTAGAAAGTGAAGCAAACTTAAATGGTCTATGTGTACAACTAACTGAAGTGCATCAAGAAAACTAAATTGAACCCATAATTTAAGTGGAGTACCCCAATCCAAAGCACCTAGTCAAGTTTAAGACAAACAATTTTTCTATTAGATGCCTGATATATAATGACATGGAAACATTTTTCAATAGAACCCTTTTATTGCATAAATGCTTCAAAATCGGCAACAAGAATGGAGTTAGAATGAAGTATAGCACCGATCTCAATGAATGGTGTTGAATCAACGCAGACTGACTTGAGGAATATCCCACCCCCATGATGCCATTTAGAAACTCTTGGTCGTCAATTCTAGCATAGATATCTAATCTTGATATTAAACAAGTAAACGAGTCCCCTATCAATGCCTTTTTTTTTTTGCACAGCAAAATGATTTTATTAAGTGGAGTACAAGGGGTACTCCTGCCCTTCGTACAAAAGAACTTACATGGAACATCTCTTAACTACAGCTTACTTACTCCACTAGATCAACGGTAGATAAAAGAGCTATAGTCAATAGCTGCTCAATGAAACTTTAATGAATCCTCAGAACACTTTTACATGAAATGCGAGAAAAATTGTGCATACCCATAGGGGACTCTATGGACAAGAGTCCCCTATCAATGCCTAGTTACATATAACCAGTTTTTTCTTTCGGCCTAAGCAGCAGATACATATTATACCTTTTTATATATAAAATATTATACCTTTAGAAATATATGCGTTTGATTTTTTTTTTTTTGGATTATTCTTTTAAAAGTTGTAAAAAAATTACAAGTTTACAATAATTTTATATATAAAATCTTATTTTAAAATTTTATATATGTGACTTTTATAGATAACACATAATATTTACTACAATTACAAAATTATCCATTAAAAGTCAATCTTATTTAATTTAACTATAGCATGATATATAATATTTTGTTTAAATTTAACATTTTTTTTATTTGATGATTTTATAAAAAATTAAAAACTTATTCCTTCTTTGAGTTATTGTCTTGTGAGACACAAAAAAACAACTATTATAAAAAACACAAAAAATTTAAATTATTAAAAAGTAGTAAATGTTGTTTATTTTAGTAATTATACATTATAAAATATTTTTAAAATTTTAATTAACAATTAATAAAATTTACCATATATCATTTATAATACTTTTAAAAAATAAATAACTAATAACTAAAATAATTTTTAGTTATAGTATAGTATAATAAAATTTAGTACAGTTACGGTTACAATACTTGTAAGGAAAATGATTTGTGCACACCCGGGTCAACACCCGGGTGTGCACACTCCCCATTGAAAAAAAAAACCCCATCACCACCCGATCCAAATTTTTTTTTTCATGTGGGGGTGCACACCCGGGTGTTGGATCCGGGTGTGCACCAATCAAGGTCCTACTTGTAAATAATGATTTTAAAAAATTTATATAAAATTTTTCTTGAGTATTTTTATTTAATTAATAATTTTTTCAATTATTATTTATATAATATGTTAAAATTTTATATAAATTTAATATCTAAAAAATAAATTAATATTATTAAAAATAAACAAAATAAGTAATAATTACTTTCTCTATTTTCAAATAACTATTATCTTTTGATTTTGAATTTCTTCCAAAATAATTGTCATTTTTAATATAAATAAATATTTTTTTCTTAATTTAATTTTATCATTATCTATTTATTTTAATTAATTATTTTATTATAAAAAATCTGACTTTATTTTTAAAATTTTTTAAAAATACTATAAATAAATATAAAAATTATCTCAAATCTTTAATTCAAAGAAAAAATTAAAAAAAAAACAATTATTTTTCAAAAAAACTTAATTATTATTCCTTATCCTCTTACTAAGATAAACCGTAGTAAAAAACATAATGATATGTCGGCACTGGCCTGGGTCAAGCACAATTCATTGGGTTGACATCCTAAATGTGGAGATAGTCGGTCTATTTAATGATTCGGTTTTTTGGAAAAAGCTTTGCCTAGTTCCACGCTTACCACCGCACCAGGTCTCATGACTAAGTTGATAAGTGAACCAAATACTTTTACAATGACCATAATTCAAAGCATGGCGCAGCATGTTAAAAAAAGGGTTAAAGTCAACTATAGTTTCTTTACTTTTGATTTTTGTTCATTGTCCTCCTTGTACTTACAAGTTAATTCAAAGTCCTCCTCTACTCTTCTAAATCATACTATTGTCCCTGTGCTCCAAGTTTTCATAACATTATCCTCCCTACTCTCACACCGTCACTAACTTTCATTAACGGTGTCTTCTTGGCCGTTAAGTATGCTATATACTTAATAATATATTATAAAGTAAATTATTGTTAGTTGGGCCCACATTATTCCACATTAGCAACGTGAGTGCCAAAGTCATTCTCCATCAGCCAACAAGATAGGTTCCAAACTTAAGAATTGATGTGGGTGGACCCCACCTTTTACACTTTCTTTCCAACACTTTATTTGATCATACCATGTGACCCATCTGAGTTTTATAGTAATTTGAGTTAGAGTTGATTTTTAATTTTACGTTAAAATTAATATATTTAAAATTTAAAATTATGATCAATTGCAAAAATGATATGTGTTACAAAGATTGTAATAATATCTATGGTTAAAAATGCTAAATACAGACATTTAACAAAAACACATGATAGAGATATTATATATTTTTCATTTCTGTTAAAAAAGGTAATCCAAATTTAACAGCAAAAATGATCAATCAAAAAGAAATCCAAACATATGGGGAAACAATATTGCTAATAGAAATCAAAGGAGTATGTTGCAACATGTATTCCATACCTCTTGCTCAAAGTCACCCGACATGCCCATTAAGAGCTCACACTCATCCTCTCCCATGCCAATTGCCTTGTATATCATTTATATGTTTGGTCATAAATTTAAATATATTAATTATATGTGTTACAAAGATTGTAACAACACTTCGATGATACCGTGTGACACATTTTGATTCACAAAATAACTTATTGTTCCATGGGATAAGTGTTATGTGATGTGATTGCTTAAAATAATATATAATTTTAAATTTGAAATATATTAATTTTAAAAGTTTTTTTTTAAACCATATTTTAAGGGTTCATATTATAGATTTATTAATTACATCTTTTAACAAATAATTTACATAAAAAAATTGAAGTTAATTTTAAGTTTATTAACTTTCTAATTAAAATCATTGATATAATATTGGTGTTAAAAATAATGTTTATTTTATATTTTTTTTATAAAAATTAATTATAAAAAAATATAATTAATGCACCCTTAAATTAGAAAAATCCTAACTTTATTAACAGTAAAGTTATTACAATCTTCAATTCTTTATAAAACATATTATTCATGTAATTGGTCATAATTTTAAATTGACAAAAA